CCTCAGCCTTCTAAGTGCTGGGATTACAGACATGTGCCACCACACCCAGCTCCAACAATATGGATTTAATAGAAACCACACTTCCAGTTTTAAATTTTAGCCATATATCGTAGCACATGCCTGTAATCCCAGCTACCTTGGGTTGCCGAGGCAGGAAGAATACAAGTTCAAGGCAGCCTGGGCAGCTTGGTGGGGTCCTGTCTCCAACAGATTAGAGTGTACTAGGGATGTAATTAGTTTGGCAGATTTGATCCCCAGAACTGCAGCAATTTAAAAAAATATAATAATAAGAATAATTATTATTATTATTATTTGATCTTTGGAGCTGGGCATGGTGGCACACACTTGTGTTAGCATTCAGGAGACCAAGGCAGGACGACCGCCACAAGTTTGAGGCCACCCTGAACTAGTCTTCAAAAAACAAAGATAACAGTAGCAATATTATTATTTGGTCTTTCCTCAGGCTAGTGATAGGCAGTATGATGATACTCCTATACTTTTCAGCAGGGCCAGCGAACCGAGGTTCCCAGCCAACCACATGATCACAAGGCAAAAAAGTCAGTACTCTATGGTGTACTGTAAAGTTACGTTTGGTAGGTGAGGTATATTAGACATAGGCCTTCACTGGTAGTTTAGGGTAACCTCAGACTTTGGCAATCCTCCTGCCTCAGCCTTCTGAGGGTTATAGCTGTGTGCCACCATGCTTCGCTTGGATGTTAAAAAAGATTTTATTGTGGTAAATATATCTAGCAAAAAAATTATTCACCATTTAAACTCTGTATGGGGGGCTGGGGATTTAGCTCAGCGGCAAAGGGCCTGCCTGGCAAGCGCAAGGTCGTGAGTTCGGTTCCCGGTACCAGAAAAAAACCAAAACCAAAAAATAAAATAAAATAAACTCTGTATGTATACAATGCAGTGCTTTAAATACCTTCGCAGTGTGGAGCAACTATCACTTTCCAGTTCTAGAACATTTTTTTTTCTCTGAGATTCTTTTCCCATGAAACAATGACTCCTTATTCTCCACTCACCACCAGCCTTAACATCTGATAACCTTTAGCCTACTTTTTTTGTTTCTAGGTACCTCATATAAGTGAATTCATACAATATTTAATGTCCTTCTGTCTGATTTACTTTCTTGTCGTAATGATTTCAAACTTCATCCATATTACATTGGATTTTGAGGCAGACATGCATATCTGAGTGCATAAAGTTGAGCTTTGAAATCAAAGAAGACAGAAGTACACCTGGACAGGGTTCCCAGGCCATCTGTTGGGAAAGTTTACCTCACACATTGAACAGTTCTAGTTTCTTTCAACTTGCAATATGTCAGCTTCATTCTTGTATAATTTGATTTTTTTTTTCTTTTTCTTTTTTTGAGACAGGATCTCGCTATGTAGTGTAGGCTAGCCTTGAACTCCCTTATGTAGTCCAGGCTGGCCTCAAATTCATTGTTATACCCCTGCCTTAGCCTCCCAAGTGCCAGGATTACAGGTATGTACCACCATGCCCCACTCCTTCCTGTATCATTTGAATATAGTAAAAGCTAATGATTTGAACTGCTTTAGCTATTTGTAAGAGCTGTTTTCAGCTCATTAAACTCCCACTTCAAGAAACCAGTGTAATGATAGCATCCTAAACTGCATTCCAGCCCTAAGTTACTGTTTTGTTATTTTATCATATATTTTCTATGCATATGAATATAATTTATAGCCGGCTGTGGTGGCGCACACCTGTAATCTCAGTATTTGGGAGGCTGAGGCCGGAGGATCGCTGCATGTTTGAGACCAGCCTGGGCCACAAAGTGAGCTCAAGGCCAGCCTGAACTGCATAGTGAGATCCCATCTCAAAAAGACAGAGAGAGAGAGAGAGAGAGATTATAATTTATGGCAAAATGTAGAACACTAGTGTATTAATTTACATTAATATATATTGCTGTGTGCCTGTTATGGCTTGAGTCTGGATGTCCCCCCAAAGCCTCATGTGGTCATAGATGGGGCTTTCCAGAGGTGGCGGTGATGTAGGCTGTGTGATAATGGGATGAAGGGTATGTGATTACTAATTAGTCCACTTGATTGGTTTCCACATAGTTCTGGGTGTCAATAATGGGACAGTCCACCCTGGTTGGGGTAACCGGGTAACCTGGATGGAACATAAGGGACAGAAAGAGAGCTGCCCGCTGTCGCTTGCTACTGCTGTTTCTTTCCTGCCATGAACTGTTTCTCCTCTGTGATGCTTCTCTTCATTCCACCCTGTCTTGGAGCCAGCTGACTATGAACTGAAACCTCTACAAACTGTGACCTATAATAAACTAAGGCAGTGCCTTTCTAAAGTATTTTTTATATGTAAGTATGTAATCATTAATGGCAGACTTTTCTCATCTTCTATAAATTCCTTATGCTATTCTTAGTCATACCCTTGGTGTGTAGTGTTGATTGAGTTACCTAAGACATTGTTACTGTGGAGTTAGAGCTTAACTTTTGGTATTCTGTAGCATTCAACTTTCTAGTCACTGCCTCTAGAGCTATTTTTCAGAGGTAATCAACTTTAGAAGTAACAAAATAACAAACTTTTGAAGAATATATAAAGAATGTTAATATGTGAACAAAAGAAAAAAAATAATAATGTTAATATGTGGTCTAATATAGCTCATACCTAAAAGTGTTAAAGGAAAACTAAGAGGATATGGAGAAATTGGAACCATTTTTCCCACTATGGTGTATCTACTTTGAAAAACAGCTCCTGGTAGTTCAGTATTAAACAGAATTACCATAGCATGCAGAAATTCTACTTTTAGATACATACCCAAGAGGATTGGAAACATTTTCTCCACACAAAAACTGACCCACAAATGTTTGTTTTTTTGTTTTTTTTTTGTTTTTTTCTCTGGTACCGGGAACCGAACTCACGACCTTGCGCTTGCCAGGCAGGCGCTTTGCCGCTGAGCTAAATCCCCAGCCCCTCCCACAAATGTTTATAGCAGCATTATTTATAATAACAAAAAGTTGATACAACCCAGTTGTCCTTCAATTGATGAGTGGATAAAAAAGATAAGATATATTTATACAATGGACTATATTGAGCAGTAAAATAGATAGGAAGGTCTGGGAGTGGCTCTCAGTGGTAAAGCATTTACCTAGCATGTCTAAGGCCTTGGGTTCAGTGCTCCAGACTTGGGGATGGGGCTGTGTATACGCTAATAACATGAATGAACCTTGAAAGCTTAATGCTGAGTGAATGAAACCACCCAGGAAGGACCACGTATAGGATAGGTAAATAGGTAAATTGTATAGTAAGTGAATGACATCTTAGTAATGCTAATTGTAAAAAAAGAAATAACTAAGAAACATTGCCCACAAATTCAGTGTGGGGTTCTGACTTTGCTTTGCTTTCTAAACGGTATGTTCCCCTTCATTAGAAGTTATTTTGTTTAGTCTTTCTTTCTTTGCATTTATAACCAGAAAAAAATAGGTACCCCTTATTTTGATGATGCCTTAAGCACATACATAGTTTTCTTTGCAAGAAAACCAATATTTATTGTCTTTTTTCTCCTGTTACTTGGTTTGAATTTTTTTTTTTTTACTTGGTTTGAATTGTTAAACCTAATTTCATACCTTAGGTCATGGGCCTCGTTTATAGAAATTTAATTTTGTTGAGCACCTTTTAGTACCTCATATTTAGAGGTGAAATTACAGCTTGAAGAGGTAAAGTGCCTTATTAAATATTTGACCTGGTAAAAGTAACAGTTTAGAATCTGTGTTACCATTACTCAGAAAGTTTTCTTTCCAGTTCATCATTACTGTTATCAGGAGAATAGCCCTAGACTTGAAGGTGTTAGAGAAAATCCAAATCTGCATTTAAAAAAAGGAAAACAATGATTAGCTTCCCTTCAATAATTTTACTCCACGAGTAAAGAAAATATTATCAAAATAAAGAGCAGCAGGGGCTGGGGATTTAGCTCAGCAGCATAGTGCCTGCCTGGCAAGCGCAATATCGTGAGTTTGATTCCCAGTAACAAACTACCACCCCCCAAAAAAACCACAACAGTTCTTCCTTAAGAATAACTACACATCATGAGCTTTTGAATCTTTGTCTATAGAATTGAGGACAGATAATAAGCTCTTCTGCAATATCTAGACAACTGAGGCTTTCTATTAAGTCCCCCTTTTCTGATTCATCTTGTATTTCTCCACTCATAAGATAAAACCAATTAATGATATGCTTGAATGACCTAAGGAACTTGCCAATCACAGAAGAGTCTTTCCCAGGAGAAGGATTTGGTATGAGAGCTAGAACAGAAGTGTTTGACTCTGAGCATGCACGTACAGTCACTTTTTTTTTTGAGGGATCTAGTACCCTAATGGACCATACTAGATGAGTGTGGTGTTTACTCTCTTACAGTAAGGTTGATGACTGGAATGTATTTGAAGTGTTTTTGTTGTTGTTGCTGAGGTTGTCTGGATAAATCTCCTTTAATATAGTTGTTCTAGAACAATAAATTTTGTGAGGTTAGCTCTGTTAATTTTGGGGTGGGAGTAATAAAGTGATAGTTTTTGTTTTTTTGAGACAGGATCTCAGTATGTAGTACAGGCTGACCTTGAACTCACTACAGTGGTACCTTGGTTCACAAACAGTTCTTTCCAAGATTCTGGAAAAGATGGCCCCAGTTGTGTTCATCACCCAGTGCAGTTTTTGCACACAAAAACAAAATTTTGCACACAAAAACAAAATACTTCTGTTTGTAAAACAATGGTTTGCAAATAGAAGCATTCCTAAACTGACATAACACTGTATTTAGCCCGGGCTAGCTGCAAACTCACAGTGACCTTCCTGCCTCAGCCTCCTGAGTGCTGGGATTACAGGCCTGTATCACCATGAGTCCAGCTACATGATTCGTCATAACTAAATGATACTGAATAACTTTTTTTTATCACTCTGCTATCTTTCCTATGGACTTTTAAAGGGACTTCATTCTGATTTCATTTGTGTTATTCATCCCATAGGATGGATAGAATGACAGAAGATGCTCTTCGTCTGAATCTTTTGAAAAGGAGCTTGGACCCAGCTGATGAGCGAGATGATGTGCTGGCAAAACGACTCAAAATGGAAGGGCATGAGGCCATGGAACGTCTGAAAATGTTGGCGCTGCTCAAAAGGAAGGATTTGGCAAATCTTGAGGTGCCACATGAGTTACCCACCAAACAGGATGGCAGTGGTGTCAAGGGCTATGAAGAGAAACTCAATGGGAATCTCAGGCCTCATGGAGACAACAGGACTGCTGGAAGGCCAGGCAAAGAAAACATCAACGATGAACCAGTGGATATGAGTGCTAGACGGAGGTATGGCTCATGTTGACTGCCTCCAGGGGTAGTGTCTTCTCATAGACTAAGCCTATGAGATGGAACTAATTCCAGTGAGAGGAGGGTGTTTTTCATCCTAAAGCTTATTGAAGAAGATGTGTCTGTGTCTTCTGGCTTAACAGTGAATTCTTCTTCTTTCCAAATGAAACTATGTACCTCCTATTTGCCTAGCATACTGAAAATTGTAGTAGCTACCCTTAAGATGGTCAATGCTGGCAAAAGGGGGCACTGCGGACTGGTCATCCAGTTAGTATATACTTTCACTCTAGTCTTAGACCTGTCATACTTAGGAGAGGAAACTGGCTTTCCTTCAAATCCTTCCAGAAGTTTTAGGATCTATTTATTATGGAGTCTCAATTTATGACATCAAAGAGAATTAGCCTGACTTTTTTGGTATCAGAATATCTTGAGGTGGTAAGTCTCTAAATTCTTGCTTTCTCCATGCCATTTCCACCAGCCCTGGCAATATGTGTATACTCACTCATTCTCTCTCTCTCTTTCTCTCTCTCCCTCTCTGTCTCTGTCTCTGTCTATTTTCCCTGGAACTTTGGTCAGTGAACCACAGTGTAGAAAATTGTAATTGGAAGAGCATTCAGTTTAGTGATAATTCAGAAACAGCTGAAAAACATGAGAATTGCTCTTCAGTGCTTACTTGCCCAATAGCTGATCTCACTGACTTGGGCCTAGGGCTGATCCAAAGCAGAATGGTTAAGAAGGTGGACTAATGGAGAAGGAAAGAGAGTGTATGGGGTGCTGGGGATCGACCTCGAGCCTTAGGCATGCAAGGCAAGAACTCTGCCACTGAGCCACATCACCAGCCTGAGGTCGTGTCTTTTTAAAAAATAAAAATAAACTTCCAATAAATTCCGTAGTGATCCTGGAAGAAAATAAAAAGTCCTTGATGCTATAGGTAATTATCAGCAGAACATCATATAAATAGATTAATCCTTAGATCCACTGGAAGAAAAGGAATTGGGTGAATGAGATAATGCATCTGAGCAAAGCACTCTCCTCATAGTCATCCTTACCTTTCTGGAGCAGATTACAGAACCTACATTTGGGAGGAAGGAAGAAGAGGGGAAATTGGGCCATAAATGAACTTATTTTTCATAGGTGCATTGTTAGACATTCTGGTAAGACCTCTGTGCTCTTGGAATTATGCTGTATTATAGTATGTTGTGATTTAAAACAACAGGTGCTATTGCTTAATTTTATAGTGCTTGCTTAACCTATGGCAGGCCCTGTATTGGAGCCCCCACACCATGTACTAGATAACGCCAGACTGTTCTGAATCCCAGGCAGTGTGTTTAATTACTTTTGGGGTTGATGCACTTTTGAAACATAAGCCTCTAGAAGCCAAGGCTCCAGGGTACTCATACCTATTATGCTGTGAAACCAAGTTGTTTTATAAGAATGAACAAGATTAGTAGGCTCCTAGTAAGTAGACCCATGGTTCTTTGAGATAAAAGGAAAGACTGGGGATATAGCTCAGGGAGTGCCTCCCTGGCAAGCACTGGGTTGTGAGTTTGAGTCTTGGTTAAAAAAAAAAAAAAAGGAGGAAAGCGTTGGAAGTAGAAGTAAGATGAAAGCTAGGCATGGTGGCACATGTCTGTAATCACAGCACTCGGAAGGCTGCAGGTGCGAGCCCAGCCTATGCTACAAAGTGAGCTCAAGGCCAGCCTGAGCTGCGTAGCGAGACCCTGTCTCAAAAAGACCAAAAAAAAAGTATTTATGAAACCAACTCTAGTAATTTGAAATGTTAGAGAAACACAGCACTTCTCTTTTTGTTCAGTTGTTTTTACTACTGGGTTACAATCTCAAATGACAGCTTTTGGGAATATGCCAGACTGAATTACAAGTGATGTCAGCAGCAAATTGGGCTTCTAATAATCTCTAATAGAGAAGGTTTCCTGCTTTTGAACCCCAAGTATTGTAAACCATGTATGTTTGGGAAAGGAACAGAGTGACTGCTATCTCTGGAATGTTTTTCATTCCTGGTAAAAGTTTAAAAGACAGTTGAGGAATAAAATTTGACTTACGCTTTCACCTTGTCTGTCTAATGTGAGTCTGAGTGTATCTGGGAATAAAGCAGGTTTTTTTTCTGGGTTTTTTGTTTGTTTTTGTTTTTGTTTTTGTTTTTGTTTTTGTTTTTGTTTTTGTACTGAGAATTGAACCCAAGGCCCTGTGTTTGTCAGCCAGGCATTGTGCCACTGAGCTGTATCACTAGCCCTAAAATATCATTTAGAGTTGTTCTCAGATGAAACTTCTGATAATGTCATACAGTTCTAAAATTGCCATCTCAAATGTCTCTGCCCTTCTTGGTACTGAGCAGTTCCTAAGTAGGAGATAGCACTAATTTGAACATGGAGGAACTTTATTACCTTAGAAACAGTTTTCTGTAATGCATGCAATCCACCCAGGACTAGAATTTTAAAATCTTCTCACCTGGGTACACTGTAGTCCCAGCTGCTCCAGAAGTTGAGACTAGAGGATTGCCTGAGTTTGGGGATTTGAGACTAGCCTGGGTGACATGGTATGGTCCTATCTCAGAAAGAGGGTGAGGGTGGGGGCTCTAACTAGTAATGCAAATACTGGTGAGTCAAGGAGAGAATGGGAAACTTTCTAGACCTTAAAATTGTTCACCCATGTTAATCTTAGGGGTGATGGTATGAAGGAATATGCATTCAAATAAATAAGTCACACAAAATGAATTCAAGCATTTTGTTTAGGCCTAACCGTTATTCCAGGAATTTAGGGTTACAGAATGAAAGGCTCTTTTCTCCCTCTAGTGGCTTCTTTTTGTATAACTGCACGTTCTTGATTTTCTGTATCTGTGACCAGTGGTTATAGAGCAATCCTGACAAACTTAATAGTTCACAAGATTGTCATTCCCCTTATTCTCTTTCCTCAGCTCAACTTGAGCGATTTTAGTAACTCAGATTTACCTTGTTGAGAAAATAAATTCCTATCCCAAGCATCAGGGATGCTGCAATCAAAAGATTTCTGTGGGTTGAGGGTTTAGCTCATTGGTAGAGTGCTTGCCTTGCTCACACGAAGCCCTAGATTCCTTCCCAGCACCACCAAAAATGACAAGAAACCTCCTGTACCAAAGCAACTGAGATAAGAAATCATGAGAAGTGGTAGATAAGCCTTCATGAATCATGATCTGTGAACATGAAAATTTTTACACATTCAAGGAAGATTTAAGAAAATACTGCTCTAAGGCCAGGTTGGTATAGCTCAGCGGCTTAAGCGCTTCCCTGGCAAGCCTGAGGTCATGAGTTTGACTCCCGGTACAAAAAAAAAAGAAAAGAAAATACTGCTCTAGTTGGGCATGGTGGCGCACACCTGTAATCCCAGTGCTCGGGAGGTTGAAGCAGGCGGATCGTTGCGAGTTCGAGACCAGCCTGGGCTACAAAAATGAGTTCAAGGCTAGCCTGAACTGCATACCGAGACCTTGTCTCAAAAAGACCAAAGGAAGGAAGGAAGGAAGGAAGGAAGGAAGGGAGGGAGGGAGGGAGGGAAAGAAAGATAGATAGATAGATAGATAGATAGATAGATAGATAGATAGATAGATAGATACTGCTCTGGACCTATAGCATTGCAGCTATCCTGACAGTGTCAAAAAAAATGTCTGGGAAAATATCTTTAAAAATCATGCTTATAACCCCAGCACTCAGGAGTCTAAAGCAAAAGAAAGACCACAAGTTCCAGGCCAGCCTGTACTCAAAAAACAAAAACAGCCAAATGTGGTGGCACATGCATGTAATCCCAGCACGGTGGAGGCTTTGGCAGGAGGATCACCACAAGTTCCAGGGCAGCCTAGACTACAGAGTGAGACCCTATCTCAAATGCGCACACACGCACATGTAGATACAGAAATCAGAGGAGAGAGAGGAAATGATCATTGATTTGGGAACCTAAGACAGTTTTTGGGATTCATTTACATTATAGAAACAAAGCTAGACTGAGAAATACCAAAATAAAGGTTGTCTAATAAGGACTAAGAGGAGTTACAGTGGGAGACTTAGATGTCAGAGTAATTTTTCTTTGAGATTGTCTCACTATATAGTCCAGGCTGGCCTTGAATTCACTGTTGAGCCTCTTTGAGTGCTGGGATTACAGGCATGTACCACCACACCTGGCAAATGTCAGAGTAATTTCTGAGCAGTATCTTTTGAGTGAAAATACAAAATAAAACTCTTGCTAGGCGTGGTGGCGCATGCCTGTAATCCCAGCACTTGGGAGGCTGAGGCAGGCGGATCCTTGCAAGTTTGAGACCAGCCTGGGCTACAAAGTAAGCTCAAGGCCAGCCTGAACTACATAGCAAGACCCTGTCTCAAAAAGATCCCCCCCCTCAAAAAAAAAAAACCAAAACTCCTTGAAGTACCAGGCATGGTGGTATATACCTGTAATCCCAGCTCCTCAGAATGCTAAGGCAAGAAGATCAAAAAAGTTGAAGCTTAGCCTGGGCAACTTCATGAGACCCTCAGGAAAAAAAAAAACTAAAAATGGCTAAGAATATAGTTTGGTGCAAGGTCCTAGGTTCAATCTCTAGTACTGCCAAAAACAGAACAAAAAAATCCCACCACTCTGGCAAATTGATATGACCTAAGTATATTTAGTTCTAGAGGCCTAATCCTTCCCTAGAAGGCTATCGCTTACTCTTTATAAACTGGCACTGTCCATTTCCTAAAGCCACTTACAATACTTTCTTTTGCTTGCTACTCTTTAGTATCTGCTCTTGACAGGCTAGACTGTCACAGATAGGCAGGACTCCTTTTTTTTTCTTTTTTGGGGACAGGGTCTTACTGTGTAGTCCAGGGTGACCTCAAACTCTCGGCAATCCTCCTGCCTCAGCCTCTAAGTACCGACATTACAGGCATGCACCACCATGTCTGGCTAGGGCCATATTATTGTTATAGTGAGCTGCCCTTTAGTGGATGGCTAAGCTCTACTGCTTTTTCACTTTCTCTCTTGTAGACCTAGTTATTTCCTTTCCAAGCCTCTACATAACTAATGATAGCCCAGGGCAGATAGAAACTAAAGATCTGCGTTACAAGAGTACTTACCTTGCCGGGCGTGGCGGTGCACGCATGTAATCCCAGCACTCGGGAGGCTGAGGCAGGAGGATCGTTGCGAGTTTGAGACCAGCCTGGGCTACAAAGGGAGCTCCAGATCAGCCTGAACTGCATAGCGAGACCCTGTCTCAAAAAAGATTTTAAAAAAGAGTACTTATCTTTATTCCTAAAGCTAATCATTATTTTGTATATTTATCCCTGTTTACTTTGTAAGGACTTTAGGGGAAGAAAGTATCTTGCTGAGCTTTTAATGTCAGATCTTGGTGTCTTCTACATCATAAGACTTGAGCGTTTGTCTTTCCCTGGGTATATTAAGAAAAGACCTAAAGTCCCTTGATTTCCTTGTTCAGTACAAGGGGGAAAAAATAGGCCAGGTGTCGCAGTGCACACCTGTAATCTCAGCACTCAGAAGGTTGAGGCAGGAGGATTGCTGTTTGAGGCCAGCCCGGGCTACAAAGTGAATTTAAGGCCAGCCTGAACTGCATAGTGAAACCCTGTCTGAAAAAGACCAAAAATTTTTTTCTTAATGAGCTTTAGTATTGGATAGTAATTTTTCTTTTTCTTGTTTAGTGAGCCAGATCGAGGAAGGCTAACTCCCTCCCCAGATATCATTGTTTTGTCTGACAATGAGGCTTCCAGTCCCCGTTCCAGCTCCCGGATGGAAGAAAGACTCAAAGCAGCCAACCTGGAGATGTTCAAGGTAAAACAACTTCATCTATGTTCCTTCTCTTTTCTTTCATTTCTAGCCAGCTCTAGTACTTTTGACTGTTTACTTTTTGTAACTACCTCTCAATGAAAAGTCCTTAATGATTCTGAATTTCAAAGCCATGCCCTTTTAAAAGGAGCTAATAGGCAGGTGTCGTGGTTCACACCTGTAATCCCAGCACTAGGGAGGCTGAGGCAGGAGGATCATTGTGAGTTTGAGACCAGCATGGGCTACAAAATGAGCTCAAGGCCAGCCTGAACTGCATAGCGAGACTCTGTCTCAAAAAGACAAAAAAAAAAAAACCACCAAAAGATAGAAAAAATAAACGATTAGAATCTAGTGGAGAAGATAGTTTAAAAGGGCCGAGAATATAGCTCAACATAACAGCACCTGCGTGGCAAGTGCAAGGTCATGAGTTAGATTCCTAATACCCAAAGAAAAAAATGCATATAAGGAGCCGGGCGTGGTGGCTCAGGCATGTCATCCGAGCACTCGGGAGGCTGAGGCAGGAGGATGTCCAGTAGTTCAAGGCCAGCCTGGGCTACAAAGTGAGTTCAAGGCCAGCCTGAACTGCATTAAAAAAAAAAAAAAAAAAAAAAAAAAATATCAAAGCCACATTTGGTGTGTGTGTATTTTACAGAGTCCTCTAAAAAAATGCATACACACTCAGGAAAAATAGTATGCCCTTTTAACAACAGACCGTGTTTTACCTTTGTATATGCAAAAGAAGCATATATGGAAACCAGGTGTGATAGTGCATGTAATCCCAACAATGTGGAGGTATGTAAATTGAAACCAGCCAGCGCTATATTGGGAGACCCTGTCTCAAAAAAAAGCCACAACGACAAAATGCATATGTAAGAGCAATTCTGTTCAATCTAATTATGTTTGACCTCAAAACTCATACCACATGAACTCTTAATTGCAAGGATACCCTCTAACTCTTTTTTTTTTTTTTTTTCCTTTTTTTGGTCTTTTTTTTTTTGAGAAGGTCTCGCTATGCAGTTCAGGCTGGCCTTGAGCTCACTTTGTAGCCCAGGCTGGTGTTGAACTTGTGGTTATCCTCCTGCCTCAGCCTCCCCAGTGCTGGGATTACAGGAGTGTGCCACCACGCCCGGCTACCCTCTAACTCTTGTCTAGTCCTAGAATATAGATTCTTCTTAAAAATATATATGTATACGCACATATTTCAGGAAAAGAAAACCTTGTGTACTTTAATACTAAATTTACTGAGACATCCTGAGATTAATACAAGTTATCTTTAGCTTCTGCAGTTATATAAGGTGCTCAAAGTGGTGGCCATTAGCTTCCAGACATGCATTAGTACAGTGAACTGCTGCTTGGGTAACCTTGGTCATTCAGATTGCTGCACATACATTTTCAGCTGCTTCTTTAAGGGCTGGCAGCATGGTAGATTCTCCATGATAGACATTTTCTAGGGTCCCCCATACAAAGGTAAAACACGGTCTGTTGTTAAAAGGGCATACTATTTTTCCTGAGTGTGTATGCATTTTTTTAGTGGACTCTGTAAAATACACACACACCAAATGTGGCTTTTATGTTTTTTGGTTTTTTTTGTTTGTTTGTTTTTCTCTGGTACCGGGAACCGAACTCATGACCTTGCGCTTGCCAGGCAGGTACTTCTTGCCGCTGAGCTAAATCCCCAGCCCCAAATGTGGCTTTTAAAGATTTAGAAACATTTTATTGGTCATTCTAGTTCACCAGGAATCTGACTAGCATTTATATGTAGTCGCTTCATTTGATAAGCACTTTTTGAGTATCTGTTGAATGCCAGGCTCTGTGTCACTTCTTATGGATGTTGAAGGTTTAGACCTAAAAAGTATAGATGTTCTTTCTCAGCAAAGGATTCTGGGTATGTGCTGCTACTGTACCTGATGGTCTCCCTGTTTCCTTAGGGGAAAGGCATTGAGGAACGACAGCAGCTTATCAAGCAGCTGAGGGATGAGCTACGATTGGAAGAGGCTCGACTGGTGCTGTTAAAGAAACTGAGACAGAGTCAGCTACAAAAAGAGAATGTGGTCCAAAAGGTAATGTGCTCTAGAAATAAAGGACTAGAAGAAAAGAAAGAAAACTACTTTTAAGAGTAACTGCCCCAGATAGAGTCAGCTTTATATCTCATTTTTCTCTGGTACTGTAGTTTTTAAATTTCTAGTAGTAGTGGGATTTTTGTTTTTTTCCCCCTTTTTGGGAGTTTTTGTTTTGCTTTGGTTTTGGTGTTTCGAGACAAGGTCTTGCTATGTAGTCCAGGCTGGCCTTGAACTCTCAGCAGTCTTGCTGCCTCAGCCTCCCAAGTGCTGGGATTACAGATGGGTGCCACCATGCTTGGCCAATTTTTTTTTTCCCTTAAATCTTAGGCTTTAATCAAGAATACTTGTTTTGTTTTGTTTGCTTTTCTTGCTATGCAGTTCAGGCTGGCCTTGAGCTCACTGTAGCCCAGGCTGGTTAGAATACCTTAATCCCATTTTTCTACTTTTCCTCCTGGTCAACAGGAGAGGCACACTGACAAGAAAATTTAAACCAGGTGTGGTGGCGCACGCCTGTAATCCCAGCACTTGGGAGGCTGAGGTAGGAAGATCGTTGAGAGTTCGAGGCCAGCCTGAACTGCGCAGTGAGACCTTGTCTCCAGAAGACAAAAAAAAAAAAAAAAAAGTAAAATAAAATAAAAAAGAAAATTTAAAACTTTAGGAGTACTGAAGTCCACTTTTGATTATTTGCTTTTTCTACAGTCTAATTTTCTCTTCCTTCTCCCAGACTCCAGTTGTACAGAATGCAGCATCTATTGTTCAGCCATCTCCTGCCCATGTGGGCCAGCAGGGTTTATCCAAGCTTCCCTCCCGGCCTGGAGCCCAAGGGGTTGAGCCTCAGAATTTAAGAACATTACAGGTATGCAATCTGTACTAGGATTATAATATTCAAGGACCCTGTCTATCCTGTCTTTTTGGGGGCTTTTGTAAAGAGTGTAGAGGAAAGGGGCTGGGGGTTTAGCTCAGCGGCAGAGTGCCTGCCTGGCAAGCATGAGGTCTTGAGTTCGATTCCCGGGACCAAAAAAAAACAGGAGTGTAGAGGAACCTGGCCGTGACAAAGGTGCTGTTACTAGTCCTTCATGGCATGATTTAGTCTGTAATAGAAAAAAAATAATCTTCATCTTCCTACTATAGTTTTCCTTCTCTAGAGAAGATTGCTAGATTCTCTAGAGAGAGTTAGCTGATACCAGCGATGGCCAACCTTTTAGAGCTTTCAGTGATAACAGTGAGCTGTCACACACATGCCATAGGTTCACCACTACTGGCATATACCAAAAAGGCCAGGGACTTGCTAGCTATTCACCAGCATTTGGAGTGATGGTAGGTTTATCTGATAGCTCATCAGACAAAATGACGAAGTCTAACTGTGTTCTTTTGTTTCTACTTAGCCATGCATTAATTATAGAAAGTATTTTCTCTTTTGCATTTTGTATAGCATTATACCACCAGTAACTAGCTTCTTCCCTCTGCTTCCTCTTCAGGGTCACAGTGTCATTCGTTCCGCAACCAGTACCACCCTCCCGCACATGTTGATGTCTCAGCGTGTTATTGCACCAAATCCAGCCCAATTACAGGGTCAGCGGGGCCCGCCTAAACCTGGCCTTGTACGCACCACAACACCCAACATGAATCCTGCCATCAATTACCAGCCGGTGAGAGAGATCCCTAATATGAAAAAAGAGAAATCCTTTATTTTTCTTGTTAAAAGGGCCAGAAATTTTAAGTTTTTCTCCATAGAGAAGCTAGGACAATACGGATGGTTTGTTTATTTTTTTATTTTATTTATTTATTTTTTTTGGTTTTTCTCCGGTGCCGGGAACCGAACTCACGACCTTGAGCTTGCCAGGCAGGCGCTTTTGCCGTTGAGCTAAATCCCCAGCCCTAATACGGATGGTTTGACTAGAATTTTGATGTTGATTTGAGGGGAGGTTTTGTTTGTTTGTGTTTCGGTTTGGCTTTTTTTTTTTTTTTTTTGAGATAGTCTTGCTATGTAGCCCTTGAACTCACTATATAGTTGAAGCTGGCTTTGAACTCACAGCAGTCCTTCTGCCTCAGCCTTCCAAGTGCTAGGATTATAGGCTTGCACTACCACACCCAGCTAGACTCTATGGTTTTTTGTTTGGTTTGGTTTTTTTGGTGTGGTGTTCATTTATTTGTTTGAGAAAGAGTACTCACTCACTGTGTAGGTCAGGCTGATCTCAAATTTTCTATTGTCCTGCCTCAGCCTCCCAAGTGCTAGGGTTACAAGCCTGTGCTACTAGAGAGCATGAATAGAGAGCATTTCCAAAAGTGGAAGCGTAAGGATGTAAGGATGTGTGACTGATGTTTTGGGTTGGATTTTTGGGGTTTTTTTTTCCTCTCTTAGCAGTTCCAGCTCATTGTTTTTTCCTACGTGCCAGAGTTCTCTTTCAGTGAGAAAGTCGGATACACCCTCTTGTGGAAGCTGAGTAGTCCAGATTAGGATCAGATAGTGTCCTCTACTAAAAAACAAGAATTTGGGGCTGGGGACTTAGCTCAGCGGCAAAAGCACCTGCCTGGCAAGTGCAAGGTCGTGAGTTCGGTTCCCGGTACCGGAGAAAAACCAAAAAAAA